TGAACGAAGAACAGAATTAAGCTGATTAAAAACAACTCTTCCTTGCCATTTACCCTTGTCAATACATTGTTCACAGCCATGGTAAGCACTGTGTGACTTTATACATTTAATAAAAACACGTGCTGGAGCTTCACATGTCCAAAACTTTAAACTGACATAAAAAAAATTATCTTTGTAAATAAGACCATTTTCTGAAAGCATTTTAAATTCCTCCAAAAACTGCTTGAGAAACTCCATAGGAGAGTTAGTTTCTGTTTGCCACAGAAAAAAGCAACAGAAAACGGAGGTTTAGAACCAAATTGACAAAGTATAGGCCAAAGCTGAGTATTGCTAGATTTAATAAGTGGCAGACCATCTAAATTTACTATTAAATGTATGCTGTTATTGATACTTGCTTCATCAACTTTGAGCATATTTTTAATAATAGTAGCTAAACCTAGATAGATATAATCACCAGAGCACATATTTTCAGTAAGCACACAATTAGGCGTTTTAAGTAAAGTTTTAGAAATTTTTGGTAGGTCCTCGTGTCCGTGTTTTTGCAACAAAATAAGCAAATCATTCAATGAAAAATGTGTAACTGCATGCTTAACCGCCCACTGAGCAATTGTCCTGATTTAGCCCACTGTGCTAAATCAGGACAATGTTTAGAATGAAAAGACTCAAAAGAGTTACTAATATCATCACTTGTTGAAGAGAGTTCAGTTATTGGTAATGTAGAATCACTTTCAAAAGTATCAATACTATTATAAATTGGACTAGAAAAAAACTCACCAGTTGAACTTTGATAATTATTATTTTCTAATTTACTGGCAATCAAAGAATTAGTCTTTCTCTATACTGTAGACCTTGATGTCATTGTATATCTTTGTATTTCTTATCTATATTACTTATAAAAAAGAATATATATATATATATATATATATATCTAACAATTAATTTATATAAAAATTGTACATTGCATAATTAATATTTTATCATTAAATGTTGCTGTTTAGTATAAAAACACAATATATTACACAAACTGTTAAAGTTTAAATAAAGCTTTTGTAACTTTTTAGAAATTAACTTTTATCATAAGAATCTTAAAAAAAATTGTAAGTAAAAAATGATTTTGAAGCATTATTTAACCATTGATTTAATTTTTATATTGATTAATATTATTATTTATTTATAACCCATTACAAACAATAAAACAAATAGTAAGGCTTTTAAAAACAGAACTATATTTATGTTATTTAAAACAATGATCAAAAAATGACACACGATTTAATAATATATGGTAAACTAATTTAAAAGATCTTTAAAGTTTAAAAACTTAAGTTTTAAAATTCACATGAACAAAAAAAGTTTTTTCTTCCTAATATTTATTTAATATTGTGTTTAAGAAATTCAAAAGAAATGTTTAAATATAAAGACTTTATTATATTGAAGTAAAAAAAAAAAACTCAGTGAAAAAATTATATAAAAATTATGTTTTACTGGCTTCTTCTGCGAAATTCGAACTGATAGACATGACATCATTACTGGTGCTTGTCCGAAGTGTTTTCCGGTTTTTACAATCTGCAGCATATTTTAAATGGTTCATCACTTCTATTCGTACTTTTGAGCTGGTAGCATTCGGAAAGACATTTAGTACTGCTTCTAAGATAAACAATTATACAAAAAAAGTATTAGGATGCAGTATTAAGATAGATTAGTATAATGTATTGGGCAGAAGTGTATTTCAGGCACCCTTAATTACTAAGTCTGTAAAAAAGTCTTAATGAAAAAAATATTGTTGAAAACCATACCCTAACCAAACCCTAGCCGTGACTCTTAGGGCATGGCTTTCAATAAAATAAACTTTATTGTTGCCTTCAGGGTAAAAGTATAATTTTCAATAAATGTATATGTTAAACATGTTTAACATATAACACCCCCTTTAGAAAGTTCGTATAAAGTTCGTTTTTTACGAACTTACTAAAGGGGGTGTCTAAAATACACGTCTGCCAGATATTGTAACAGCAATAATGCTATTTAGGAAAATGTTATTTAAAAAAAAACAACCTATAAACAAACTCGCTACTTATTACATTATACAACAAAGTATTTTCAAACTTAAGGTTTCCATTTAAACCAATCATGTTGAATTTTGTCTGAAGCTCATTTGACATCAATCTTAGATGAAAATAAATAAAACAACTAAAAGATATCATTTAGTAATTTATGCTGTTTCTAACTTAATAGTAATATGAAGTAAATGTAATATATAAAAATCAAGTATTGAAAATACAAAAATTACCTTTGAATTAGGTCCTTAAACATATATTTAGGTGACTTTCCACCGACACGTGAGAGTTGTTTAACCTTAAATAAAAATAAATATTAGCCCAATTGAAATATTTCACATAAAAAATTTTATTTAAGTGTAATAAATTTTTAAACAATTTAATTAGTTAATAATACTTAAGTTATAGTAATGCTACAACCTAAATAGTTTAAAAATAAATAGGTTATAAATAAGGTGACATTAGTTGCAAAAGCAATTGATTAGTAATCATTTTATCGTCTATCTTTTTTTCTTTAAATTGCTTTTAAAAATATTAAAATATAACTCACAAACTCTTGTGCAAAACAATTATCATACATTTTAAGTTTAAATTCATTCAAATCTTCTACTGTCAAGAAATGAGTTGGAATTTCCGCACTTAAATTATGTGACAATGTACTTTTGGGTTGACATTGTAAACATGTTTTAATTTCACACAGTAACATGATGACTTCATACTGGAATTCTTCACACAAAAATAAAAGAAAAAAAAAACCAAAGTATAATCTATTAAACTACAGGGTAAATTTTTATAAAAATTTATCTTTAATTGCAATACTTTTTAAATATAATATGCCTCCATAAAATAATTATAATAACTGACTTATATAAAAAGTAAAATAAAAATATATTATGTATAATATTTTTTCAGTGTGTATTATTACTGAAAAAAAAATCTACACACTTTGATCACTCATTTGAAAGTTATTTCTGTTAATAGCCAGAGTAGAATGTTCTTTACTTTTTTGTAATCCACAAGATTGTTCACTCTGTGTTTCATTTTTCTCTGATTGTAAAAGAGAACAATAATCTGGTCTTCTTTTACTTTTACTCTGAGGAGATAGTGAACAAGAACTATTGGAAGATCGAAAGCGCGATTTCCTTGAATTATGGGATTGAAGCACTTGTATAAAGAACTACAATATTTTAATTCTTAAGTTTTTCTACTCTAAAATAAACATAATCATAATAATCAAAACATAAAAACATAATCTAAAATAATCAAAACACAACATTCTCTGCAGCCATAATACAAACAGAATACTCTATAATACAAACAAGGTTTTTCATGTATCTTCTTCTATAAGTCGTAATGGTCGACGAATTGCTCTTGAGGATCTACGTGTGTCTTTTCCAGGTGTTATTAATAACAATGGATTGATCGGACAAGCATCATTGACAAGATTTTCAGCTGGCGGAGGTTGATAAAGGGGAGGCTGGTTAGGAAAGTTTTCAGGATTGGTATTGGTAAGTCCATATTTCTCAGGTGTTAATGGTTTATAGGGGTAAGAAGGTTTATTAAAAGCATTCTCTGGTGAAGGTTTAATATTATTAAAGGCATTCTCTGGTGAAGGTTCAATATCGTTTGTTTGATCAATGATCGGAGCAGAACTTGTTGGAGCTAAGTGTCTTAGGGAAACTGTGGTTTCTCTTCCATCTGGATACTTTATGTGAGCATATAGAGGATTAGCATTTATGAGTTGCACTTCGTCTACCAGTGGTTCATACTTATTATTACGTAAATGTCTTTTCATTAGTATTGGTCCAGGATGACTTAACCATGAAGGTAAAGTGCATCCAGAGGCTGTTTTACGAAGGTGCTTAAACATTCTTTCATGAGGTGTCTCCATTGTTTTAGTATTTACTAAGGATCTTATAGAATGGAGAACGTCTGGCAATACTTTTTCCCAAGCTTTGATGGGTAAATTGTGTTGTCTAGTAGCAATCTCAATAGACTTCATTATAGTTCCATTATACTTTTCGGCTTGTCCATTCCCTTGTGGATTATATGCTGTAGTATGACTTGTCGCAATACCTTTCTCTAGTAAGTATTGTTTTAATTCTTTACCAATGAAGGCTGAACCTCTATCGGAATGGATGTAACTTGGCAAACCAAAAATTGAGAATACTTGTGACAAACACTTAATTACAGTCTGAGCTGAAATATCAGGGCACGGGATTGCAAAAGGAAAACGAGAATACTCATCAATTATGGTTAAAAAATACTTGTTATTAGTTTCCAAAGGAAGAGGTCCTTTAAAATCTAAGTTCAAACGTTCCAGTGGTTGTGTCGCCTTTATCAAATTAGATTTTAGTGGTTTGTAGTATCTAGGCTTACATTCACAACATAGTTTGCACTGATTAGTTATTCGTTTAACATCATCAATTGAGAAAGGTAAATTACGGTTTTTAATAAAAGCATAAAACCTAGTTACTCCAGGATGACAGAGTGATTGATGAAGCTGAATTAAGTTGTTAGTGTTTATTGCTGAGCAATGTATTCTAGAAAATAAGTCAGCTGGAATATTTAGTTTCCCTTCCCTGTAAACAATGTCATAATTATAGCACGATAGTTCAATTTTCCATCGATAAATTTTATCATTTTTAATCTTTGATTTATGTTGCTTTTCGAAGATATAGGATACAGGTTGCTGATCAGTAATAAGTTTAAAATGGCGTCCAGTAAGGTAGTGTTTCCAATGTCTGACTGCTTCTATTATTGCGCAAGCTTCTTTCTCAATAGAGGGATGTTTGAGTTCAGATTTTTGAAGTAATCTTGAAAAGAAAGCTACAGGGCGGCCATTTTGATTAAGAACTGCAGCTATAGCAATGTCAGATGCGTCTGTTTCTACTTCAAATGGAACATTTTCGTCCACATAATCTGTCACAGCATTTGCAATGTCTTGTTTGAGTTGATTGAAATCATTTACACACTGATGATCTAATGGGTACTTGGTGTTTTTGGTAAGAGAAGCTATCTTATCGGAAAAGTTTGGAATCCATTTAGAGTAGTATGAGAATAGTCCGATGATACGCTTCATGGATTTAGCATCATGAGGAGGAGGCATTTCTTTCATAGGTTGAAGACGACTGGGATCTGGTTTGAGTTTTCCTTCTTCTATAAGATAACCAAGAATGCAAATTTTATCTTGGGAAAAGCTACATTTATCATGATTATAAGTAAGATTTATATTTTTAGCTGACTTGAGAAATTTTTCCAGATTAAGATCATGCTCCTCTTGGGTTTTACCACATATTGTCACATTATCTAGATAAGCATAAGTATCTAAAAGTCCTTCCTTTTCTATAAATTCGTTTATGGTACGTTGAAAACAAGCAACCCCATTTTCAATTCCAAAAGGCATTCGCTTAAATTGGAACAACCTCCCATTTGCTTCAAAAGCTGTAAATTTTCTATCATTTTTGGTAATTGGAATTTGATGGTAGGCTGATTTCAAATCAACTGTACTAAATATTTTGTATTGAGCAATTTTGTTTACCAGATCATCAATCCTTGGTAATGGGTAAGCGTCTAGTTGAGTATACTTATTTATTGTTTGACTGTAGTCAATAACTAATCTTTTCTTAGAGCGTTCTCCTTTAGTTACAACTACCTGAGCTCTCCAGGGAGAATTTGAATGTTCGATAATGTCCTCTTTAAGCATACGTTGTACTTCCATTTCAATGAATAATTGGTCTTCTTTGCTATATCGACGAGATTTTGAAGCTATTGGTTTACAGTTAGGCGATAAATTGCCAAATAAACTAGGGGGAGATACATTTAACTTCGACAAACCACAAATTAATAGTGGGGGTCTTTTTCCTTCAAACTTAAGGGTTACAGCTTTGTGTTGTTTTTGAAAATCGAGACCCAGAATAACAACCATGCATAACTCATTTAAGATGTTAAGTTTTACTAGTTTATAATGCTCATTTTTTATTGAAATATTGACAAAAACTACTCCACAAACTGTACTAGATAAAGATGATGAAGCCATAGATACCTGTTTTTGGTTTTGTCTATGAACTGTTAGGTTTAGTTTTTGTACCAATTGAGGGTGAATAAAACTATCAGTGCTACCACTGTCAATGAGAGCATTTACGAATGAACCATTAACCAACATGCCAATTGTTGATTTAGTTAAAGGTGAAATGGAAGCAGAAATGTTCTTTAAATTAGTTTTATGTTCAGAGTAGTCTAGTCAAGTGAGTGAAGGATTGTATGAGTTTAAAAGTTGATCAACAAGATTCATCCCTGCTGTTGTAAGTTTAGAAGATTTACATAACTTGGCAAAATGACCAACTTTCTTACATTTAAAACAAATCGACTCTCTAGCTGGACAGACAGCTTTAGCATGTCTTTGATTCCCACAGTTCCAGCAATTTGAAACAGAATTTGAGTTAAATTGCTTTGGCTTTTTTGTTATTGCAGCTACTGTTGTATCTGATGTATTATACTGGAGGTAATTTTCAGCATTTTTCTGCGCTGATTCCAAGGTTCTAGCTTTTGAAAATATTTCATCCAGACTTATTGTACTGTTTTCTAGTAGTCGCTGTCTGACAACCTGTGAATTTATCCCTGTTATAAATGCATCTCTAATATATTCATCGCGATATTCAATAGCAGATACCTGTTTAAAGTTACATTCTTTTGCTAAAACTTTAAGAGCGTGTAAATACTCATCAAAATTTTCTCCTGGCTGTTGCTTACGAGTTGCCAAGAGGTGTCGTGCATAAACCTCATTTGATGGTTTAATGTACACAGATTGTAAAGCTTGTATTGCTGCTTCATAATTTGGACATTCGCTTATTATTTCATAAACATCGGGCACAACAAAATTAGTCAGGATTTTTAACTTATTGAGTTCTTGAGGGAGTTCATCAAGATAATATTCAAATGTTCTGAGCCAATGTTTAAATAATTTTGTTGCCGAAGGTGAGTTCGGTAATGTATCCAAACAAGAAGGTCTTAGAGCTCTATCCATATTTTATTTTGATAAGAGTAGAAAATTGAAGCACTTGTATAAAGAACTACAATATTTTAATTCTTAAGTTTTTCTACTCTAAAATAAACATAATCATAATAATCAAAACATAAAAACATAATCTAAAATAATCAAAACACAACAGGGATTTTGATGAACTTTAAAAACTAAATACTGACTGGGTAGGTTGGTTCAAATCAATTTTTATTTTATTCTGACTTCTTGTGAAAGATTTAGGTGTTCTTTTTCTGATTCTGAGGGAAATGCTTTTTTATTTCTAAAACCTGATTTGATTTCAGGCTTTGGAGGAAGTGTACAGTAAAGTGTTAAAAAAAATTAAAAATGAATAATTCAATAAAAAAAAAAATTGATTTAAAAAAATTAAATCAAAAAAATTAATTCCAAAAAATAATTAAACAAACAAAAAAATTTGAAAAATAAATATCAGAATACTATACAACTTAATATGCAAACACAAAAAATTACTTTTTACCTTTTTTTGCAACTTGAGACATATCTTTTTTAAAATCAAAATCACAATAGTCAGTATGACTTGTAATATTAAATGAATGGCAAGTCATACAATTTTTATCAGTTAATTTAATTTTGAGAACTTGAAATTTAAACCAATCATCTTGAGGTTCAACCTGGTCCCTTAACTTTTTTTCAGCACTTTTTTTGGTCATCTCAAAACTTTACCATTAATCCAACTTAAAGGAACAGTGTCAGAGTAAACCTTGTCTTGTTCAAGCCACTTTACACGACTGAATTCAGACATAATAGCACACTACATAATGGTAAAACAGAAAAAATAAATAAATTTTTTCAGAATAATACCAATAAAAAAATAATTTTAAACAACTATCATATTTATATCGTAACGTTAAAAAAATGAATAATTTAAAATTATTTATCAATATGAAGTTTTGTAATAAGTTATTATATAGAAAAAACAAAATATTATCTTTACAAAGATTTTTTAACCTAAATAATGTTATAATGTACTTTTTATGAAATTATTTTTAATGTAAAAGAGAAAACAATAATGTTGAAAATACAAACGCTATGATTTTGTTTTTTTAGTCCAGTAAGTTATAAAAAAATAAAATGCTTATCTTCAAATAAAAAGTACCAATATATATGTATATGTACATATATTAATAGACACACATTATGGTTTTTAAGGTCTGTCTAATTTATAAGGAAGATAATTACCTTGTCTGGAACTAATTCCATAAGGAACTTAAAGTAGCATAAAATTTCCATAAACAAATAAATAATTTATCATGTATTAACATAATTGAACTAAAATGTCAAAGAAATAATAAAAATATCAAATAAGTACTCTATCTTACTAAAATAGTAACTCCAACTAACTAAAATGTCAAATAATTAGCATTTTATTTTTTGAAAAAAAGCCTAATAAATAACATAATAATGGGTATATTAATAGTTTACTATTTATATACCCATTATTATATTATTTATTTGATAATAAAAACTAAATGTTCTTTTTAATTCCTTGTGCACTAGGAAATACATATTTGAATTCTATTTTAAATCATCTCAGCCTAAGAACATTCTATATGCAGAATTTTCTGAGACTATGTTGATTTAAATTAAATTTTTAATCAAAAATAAAATGTATATATATATATATATATATATATATATATATATATATATATATATATATATATATATATATATATATATATATATATATATATTCTTAGAGTGTAGTCGGAAGAGACTTTCATGCAAAAAAAAAAAGTCTCTTTCAACTACATTTTTTTTACCTTGTCTCTTAAGCTGCATTTTATTGTCGTCGAAATGTCAAAGCAATCAAATTAATGCGGAAGTACATTAAATTTTATTGTTTTTTAAAAAAACCGCAATAATAATGACTAGAAAGTTTTTTTTAATTAGTGGTGTTTTTGTTTTTGTTTTATTAAAAAACACTTTTAAAATATGTGTAAGTGTTGCTACATCGACTATCTTATAGCCTGACTTGCAACGGAGTGCTGCTACATCGACAGTCAAATAGCCTGACTCGCAAGGGAGTGCTGCTACATCGACTGACAACCCAGCAAGCACAACCATACGGGAACCATCCGGGATGTCAAACGGGAACCGTGCGGGATTTGGATGCGGGATTTACATCGGAACCATACGGGCTAAATAAAAAAAAACGAAAATCGATCGCCTGCTTTTTCATTTCTCCCGCATTGATCCCAGATTTTCCCCGAATGTATTTTGTATTATTTATAACTGTGATTTTTATACTTTTATTTAACGATTACTTGTTTAAAGCAATTTTTTCATTAAATTTTTCATTATGCGCATGTATGTTTTATTAAATAAAATAAACTATTATTAAATATGTAATCAATATATATATATGTGTGTTCGTTGCTGCATTCGATATATATACAATGTATATTAAACATTCTATATGTTGTTTTCCGTGTTTGCTGCATTTGAATTTCTCTCTTTTCGGCTGTCTTTACTTCTATCTCGAGCATTACCAAACCAAGCGGAAAGTGCTTCTTCAAGAAGCTTTTTTGATAAATTTTGTTTTGTTTCATAGTTTCTTTTTGCTGTACCTAAACATACAACATTAGTTGAAAAAAATTTCATTAGCTTCTAAATCAATACATACTTTTAAATTTTTGTGGCCACCTTAAACCATATTTTTCATTAATCTTATTAATTGTCATTTTTTTAGACGCCTAAATTCCTAAATATTTGTAAATATTGAAGATATAAAAAAAAATTATCAATGACACAAGATAAGAGCCATCCATAAAGAACCTTTTTTAAGCATTTTTGACCCCCCTTCCTTGGTCACCGGTTGTACTTTTTTCCTGTACCCCAACGCTTAAAAAGGACTTCACAAAATCGATACCGCCCCCATTATTTTAACCGGAAAAAAAATTATTTGATCTTACAATGATGCTTGACACTTGTCCTACACCTTTGAAAAACAAAATTAAAAATATTATTTTAAATTATCTTCATAAAAACACATATTTACATTTTCTCATGTTTATGTTACAGTTTTTCATGTTTATAAATTTGAAATAAAAAATCTATAAAGTGATGTCCTTTTCTGACAACCTCCCTCCTCCGCCTTTGTATCTTTTTAATCTTGACCCCTACCACCCTACTTAGATGACGGATGGTCCCCTAGGGTAAAAGTACTAATAATTTTTTTGCTATGAAAATAAAGAAATCAATACCATTAATTAAGAATTGCAATCCCACACTGCGAGATCTTGCATTATTTGAACACAGGGGAAACACTAGATCTACGCCACAGATTTCTGCTGGATCATCGCCAGTCACTGGTAAAATAAAAATGAATAACGATGCATTTATTCTTAATCTCTGCTCAATTGTCAACAGTATGTGGCTTATGTAATTTATGTAATATAATTTATATATGTCCACAATTTATACAATTTACAAACTATCAGAGATTAAAAATGCATGCACTGTATTCTACTTATATTTCCCACCAAATTGGCACGGATCCATAATTAATTTGTGGCGAGGAGCCATCAGTACTCTGAGCGGGACCTCGCATGCGCTGAAATAATGCGGGATCTCGAGGCAGGACTGCAATTCCTACCATTAATTCAAGAAGAAAATAAAGAAAGTATAATATATATCATATTATGATATGATTTATATATATATATATATATATATATAATATATATATATATATATATATATATATATATATATATATATATATATATATATATATCATATATGATATATATTTCATATTATGATATAGTAACTATACCATACTTACAAAACATTATTTGAAATAGCTGCAATGGCTGAAATGGTTTTTTATTTTTCTGACCAGTTAGGTTATATTTTCGTGCCAGTTCATTAGAAAATAAAAATTTCATATTCCTTCTTACAAAATTTGTTATATTCATACCACCATTATTTACAAGGACCTGAACCTGGTGGAAAAAAAAAAAAAAAAGTAAATTCAAAACTAGTTATTTTTTTATTATTTAGGGCAAATAAGGCAAAGTGACCTAACAATGGCCGGTCTTGCATCCAATGACTGAGGAAAAACTTGCAAAGTATTCTATGCATCGATGGAGGGTTGGGGCAGGGTTAAGGTTAGAGTTATAATAAAATAAATAAAAAATAAAGTTTCAATATATATATTTTTTATTAAATAAATAAAAATATGAAGTATTGTATAATAAAATTCAATAAAAATAATAAAAATCACTTCAAAAAGGATAATATAAACCAAAATAATTAATTTAAAAATGTACATATTAAAAAAAAAGATAATATAAACCTATACTTTATTTGGTATATATATTCAATGCAGGAAAAACCTTAAATAATAAGTTTACCAATTTTTTTTTTCAAATATTCATCTTTCAACCTATCTTCAAAAGCTTCGACATCTTCAGTTGTTTTAAGTGGTAAGTTTAATTCAATTTCATCCTCTGTAATGCCATGCGTTGAATTAATTTGTTGCTGAATGCTGTGCAACATAGCTGAATGCAACTTTTGCGTCTCTCTTATTTTTTCTTGAGCTGCCAAAATTTTCAACAACAATTTTTCTGCTTATAATTTAAATGAAGCAATTATTAAAAACCAATATAAAAAAAAATTAATAACTCAAACAAAGTGGTATTCGATACTAGGGTGGAGCAATTTTCACAGCAAAAAAAAGAGTTTAAAAATAAACATTCCTGAGACGCGAATCGATCTTTATTAATTATAAGTAAAAAGTAAACAAATACTTTCCAATTATGACAAGATTTTAAGGTTCCTCCTTGGATTCTAAATTCTAGGAATTCGGGTCCTAATATTTTTGATTTTTTTTTCCATAAACCATAACTTTGTACTCAAAACAAAAAGAAAAATGATTGTGTTATAAATAATTACTTGGTTTAAAAAAAAAGAGTTCATAAAATATTTCCAAAATATACTTGAAACCCCTGTTTCGTTGAAGACGTTTTTTTTTTTTGAAAAAGACAAAACTATTTTTTTTTCCTTTAGTTTTAAATAAAAACAAATGCTATTGTGTACACATTTATATGTATATAATATTGTATATATATTCAAAACCAGCAATTTCTTTTGAGTACTAAGTTGATATAGTTTAGAAGAAAAAAAGAGGAATCTCAAAGTAACTTAACAAAGTAATATAATAAAAACTTGCAGCAGTGTAGCGCAGTGGTTAGCGCGCTTGTCTCAGAGTTTAGAGATCCCAGGTTCGAAACCCACCTCTGGACAAGTTTTTTTACATCGGTTATAAAGGAGGCGTGAACTTTCTATTAAATGCTCTTCTCCGCTGTGCTCTGTGATAAGACCATAAAGGACTTCTTAGGGCACCTAAAGCAAATACTAAAAAAAAAAAAAATAAACTA